TCCCGAGGAAATGTCAGAAGCTTACGAAGGGTGGCTAGATCCCTCTATTGATTAATTTTGATTGGCTATTAATGGAATTTACATGTAGACAATCTACATTAACACCTGTTTAAAAATAGGACTAACAGAGTTTCGCTTAATAACATTCAATAACTGTAATCGAATTAGCATAGGCTGGTGTTAGACCATGCATATGGTCTATACTGGTTGTTGAGTTTGGGGTTAACTCGATTTAACAGTTCTCGAAACAATCTGGAACTGATGTTGGCCCTCGTTCACCCATCTTTAAATCTACTTCAACAACAGAGCAAGATGAAACAGTAGACGTTGTATTTTTATCTCAATTATGCCTGGTGTTGATATAGTTAGATCATATAGCGTGACAGGAAAATATTTATGTGCACGAGAGTGATCTTCAATAATATATAGAGAGCGTGTGGCATGTGTCGATTACCACTTGTCATTGATTTTTATAAAAGAGTAATCTGATCGACTTAATCAACTACTTCTGGCTTTTTTTTTTACATGACATCGGTTTTATCAGGAACTTTCGCCTCATTAAATTAATACCTTTAGAAAGGAAATAATAATTATCAGTTAAATTTCGTATCAAAATTCCGGGGTTATTATCCGTATATTACACTTATGGTGTAGACATAGTATGTTGTTAGTATTTACGCATAGTCTTAGAAACTGTCAACATCATTTCCTGGCTTTTACCGCTTTTCAGCATGTCTCGCACCTACTTGTCGTGTGAATAGACATTGGTTTGCGCTTTGCTCACAGATATTTGGCTTGTATAAATCTACTTGTAAACGAAGAAACCAAGATTTACAGAAACCATCACGTCCACTTCACGTAAATCCACATGCGTTGTAAAAGTCAAGTAGATCTTATTAGATTTATGTTATTGCAACTCGGGCTCTAAAATCAAATAAAGCAATTCATTTGCAGGATGTTTCTTGTCCCTAATCAGTAGTTGTTAGGCGGAAATGAACAATAACTTGTCAGTTATGTTGCACATAACACTAACACGCTATTTATGGCAACCTGGAATTACATCTTGGGAAAGATTATTTGTTTCATTCAGTAACTTGGTATGGTCTACAATAAAATTAGAACCCCCCGCAAAATGGCTCCCATTACGTTCACCTTTATTGGGTTGATTTTCACTTTCATTCAATAAAGAAACATCTTTTCAAAGTGATCATCAAGTAGCAATCGAATTTGTCACCAAAGCGTTAAATGCGCAGGCCAAATGTACAATTATATATGCCCTATACTTTAAGATCAATACGAAGTAATACAACTCGGAAAGACATTACAGCGGAAATGTTTTTTTTTTTTTTTAGTTATTCTAAAATTTCATTCAATAAAATCTGTGTTAAAAGTATTCATGGTGTGTCACTCAACAACGTCATCAAATTCTAAAAACCACCAGTTCTACAAGCAATATTTTTAGAGTTGGCATGATTCCGATATATGAGTTTATGTAGAAATCACAAGCCAATACGGGATTTTTAAAAATAAATTATCGCCACCGTCCTTGGCAAAAGTTTCAACAGTTAAATTTATACAGATTGTTTAACTGCTTTGAAACAAAGTACGTTGATTTTTAGCGATTTCCGATAATTACTGTCGGAGTTATCGCTCTTGATCAATTTGAAAAATCTTGTGGACCTCTCGGGGCTTGAAATGTATCCACAGTGTTTGGTCACGAGACGAAGAATCCTATTAATTTCTCATAAATGTATCATTTGATTACTGGTACATGGTTTGTATAATAAATGTAAACACGGGTAAAACTAGAAGTCAGATAAATTTTTAATGAATTCGGATATTTACTGAATAGGTTGTTAACTTTGGCCAGTGTTTTGTATTCTATTGTTCCTATTACCTCCAACAGAATAAATATGTGACAACCTTTGTGGATTGCTCCAAAGATTTAGCAGATGTGGCCGGATATTTCGTTGCCTAACAAACTATCTTTTAATCTCAACGCACATGGACTTGTAAATTTCTCTCCCGAAATCGCCCACCAAGTATCAATATATTAAAACAAAATTGTGCAAGTAAGCTATTATAATGAAATTTTCTGAAATGAATTCGAAACAAAGCTTTTTAAAATATCTTCGAAAGTGGTAGAAATTTTATTCTTCGCCGATTTCAAATTTCTTTTATTACATTAGTGTGCAGTCGTTTGTCTTCTATGAAAGAGCATTCATTTCGCCAATCAGTTTGAACAACCATTTATTATTTAAAGGAGTTACTCCTAGAGTTATTTCTGAAAGCGGTTATTGATTTTGGAAAATATATATTAATGTATTTGTCTCAATGTCATCTGGGGTATACAATATAAGTATGGATATTCTGTCTGTTTTATTAAAAAAACAAAATTGAATGCCATAAAATCGTTGAGCATAATAGTCAGTTTTGAAAAGAAGTTACTCTATATTTCATTAATTTGATTAATGAAAATTTTCAATATACAGACGTTATAACAGACTCGATGTTGGGTGTAGGCGAGTAAAGGATTATTAGCGAAATACAACCGTGCCTATAAAACCGATTTTTGAAAGTTCTTTTCTTCAAGATGCTCGAATCTTGTATTTACCTGTAATTTCAACTTTACGACTTGCAAATAACTCACATATCATGTTTTCTATTTGTAATATACCGAAACTAACATAATTTAAAAGTAAAAGATTTGACTTGTGATTTGGTGTCAGTAATTATCGTAAATACGACATGATTCGACTGGTACTTTGTCATGATGAGGGTTTCTAATGAGTTTGGTTATTTGTGTTTGGAAAAATGTACGTTTCTGTAGCCGACGTTACGGCCACTTGTGTTTTTAAAACTAACCCTCGTCCTAACTCTAACCATGTATCCCAAATTAGCAACAGTTGGGACCTATTTCTGTGTAGCTCCAGTTATTACATAAAGCTAATGTCACGGAATTAGCATGCCCTTTTCTGCAGATATTCCCTAGAAAAGTGAAATATATATATCCCTTATTCATAAACGTGTTTGAAATAAAAATACACTAGACCGACAGGATGATGTATCCTGGCGGCAGCCATACAACATCTTAACAAAATTGTTTCAATAGCATTTAGTAATTGGACTGGAATATACAGGTCACAATTCTATGGAATACAATTACTGCTTATTAATGAGCGACGTAATAAGCAGTAGAATTGTGACCTGTATAATATAATCTTAACCAAACTTGTGGAATGGAACTATCTGCCTTAATTCTATTACATTCTCCATGAAGGTATAAGCGTAATGAGGTGGTTGTAATCATGTACCTATTTCAATTTTCCCGTATAGAAGACTGGATCTGGGTTTTATTTAATCACTTTAAGCTTATTTATGATTTAAACTTGTAACATGAACACTATATATATTATTGGGAATTAAATCAAGGGTAAGACTTAAGTCCGTTCGATCGTTACTGGTATTTAATTAGACCATGTAGTGTCACGTAATCCTCATTTAATGAGGGTTCAGTTATTATGTATCTGAAAGATGTACATAATCCTTGACAATATCAATTTCTTCATATCTTACGAGCAAATACAATACAGATCTCTCTCTCTCTCTCTCTCTGTAAATTTAAGATCATTTTTGTATAGCTGTAGGACCACTATCAGATACTTGTTTGTGTCCGAGACTTACCGTCTATGCCGAGATCAAAATGACCCATTTAAACTACCCCACACTACCTTTGCGGAGTTTATTTCATCATTTCTTGTGGTGTCGAGTTTATATTCATCAGTCGTTTGAAATTGAACCCCTAGACCTCGCAATTTATTTCCAGAAAAGCCCCAATGAAATAAAATTCAATCTCCTTTTTTCTTTGGTGTATTTGTTTCTGAATTGATTATTTCTTAAATTTCAAAGGGGGATTCTGAATGCTACGTTCATTAATTTAAAATCAGTTTCTAAGAGGTGTCACCAACTTTAAGAAATACGAAACTAAAAAACCTGAATTAAAATCAATAGGGTGATTAATCCTAGTTTATCTGAATGGCAGCAGTGCCAATATTTTCTAGAGGGAAGATTAAATTCCAATCAATATGTTCGTTGCACCTTCTGTTGCAATCATTATATTAAAAAGCAACGAACCCAATGGAGCCATCGAGAAGATTGGAACTAATAAACTGCATTATTATAACACAACTTCTGTAGGGAGTGAAAAAGAGTTGTTATCCCCCCTAACAAGCAGGTCTGTTTTTGGACAACACTGACGTCAGAAAATATTGAAAAAAGAAATTCATTATAATGCGGACTCTCTTTAGACGCATAATTCATAATACAAACAGTTCTTGTTCATCTTGACACGAAAAGTTTTAATCATGGGTGGAAGTGAACACTAAACCCAAATTCTACCCTATCGTTACGAATTTCTTATAATGAAATCGACATCAAATGTTAACATTAAGTGGAAACCAGAAACAGTTAGCTGTTATTGGCCTCGTGAGAAAGCAGTTTGCTGAAGTTTTGGAGGAGGAAAACGTTTTAAATTGTTGGCGAGTGGGATTCAAACAGCAGGACTATTTTTACTATTAGAATGTTAGTTGTATTGGCAATTTTTCACTTGGAAAGCCCTTATACGCGTTAGTTGATTTCATTTTTATTGACCAGCTTTTGTCATGTGCTCAAGCTATGTAACAGATTATAGCCTGACTCTAAGATTGTAGTTTAGCATTCTTTTATGATGTCGGTCAATAGGGTTGATGTAAGAAATGTTACGTTTTGTTTTGTATATATTATTGATTTCTTCAACCAATCAAGTTTGTTAACACACCAGTCTGCATGCTAATTAATTAAAGGCATTCCTTAAAATAGCAGTATGAAAGGAATTCATCCAGTGACTGGACCTTGGTGCCAATCAAACTGACATTTACACAGATACATCTAATTGTAATAATAGACGTTAGATTCAACAGAGTAGACTGTTAAACCTACATTGTCTTTTTCTTTCTTTTCAGGAAGCGACTATTCTGTCAAAAGGTTGGAAGGGTAATCTGTTAGGATATATATTTTGAAAATGCCGTTTTAAAGAATATGGCTGTAATAATCAAAGAAAGGTAAGTTTTATTTTTGAAATATTTTTTGTGGTTAATATTTCCTACAACACATTGTTCAACTTCTCATTTCTCTTGGTCGTTTACAATTTTGCAACATCTTTTATACGCGTCCATTGTAGTGTGATTGTATTATCGTCACACCCTTGTCTGTGGTTTCTGTCGTTTGTAATTTCTTATGCACAATCTAGAGACTACACTTATAACATACGATTGATTTGATTGTGTTTCCTTTTCTGCTCTGTAGAATAATTTGATTAACATTCAGTCTACTTTAAAAATCATGTAATAACATCGAATTTCAATAATCTCCGATAACTTCTTCTAGAGTTTTTCCCAAGGCTGTATACCTTTCTATCTCCAACAATCTCCTTACCCCGTAATTATCGCGGTCCAGTATGTGTTTGTCTGCACTTTCTAAAACACTGCATTGCAATTCTAGGAAACATGGGAAGTTCATATATATAACAATTTTTTTGCAAATCAAACTTCTTAATTTCATTGTAATTTTGAATTTGTTCGATAAATATACGTCTTCCTTAGCCCATTTCATTTCAGTGGAAATAGTTTTATAAAGGCGACCGTGATTGATTTTTTTATTCGGTCATTTTACGAATATTTATATGTTTTATTGGCTGTCACGATATTTTTTCTTGAGTTCTATGCTTATCAATAAATTGAATAAGAGGTTGTAATGCTAAAGTCGATATGTTATTATTTACGTCTTATAAAGGTATAAAACCATATGTTACATTATTCTACTTTTACAAAATTCTATTTATACTATCATTACGGTTCTATAACTATATCTAATACCACATCCTATTTAGGTGGAAAGTTGCTGAAATCCCGGACATAGAGCATCGTTTGTATATAAAGCAGAAAACAAAAGACACACGTCATTGTGTGTAAATAGAATAAAACATGGCCGGATATATCCTGGGGTTTTAAATAGGTCTGTTAAAGTAACACATATCATATCCAACCCAACCAAACCGGTATATACATAATTACATGGTTGATAAACTCGTCTGACACAATACACCCATATATCATATTATTTCGGTACATGTTCAAATTCTAGTAAAAATTGACAAGATTTACGACAAAAAGCAAATTCGGAAAGAAAATTTATCATGGTTTTTAAATTGTCGGGGGAATATTTAAGGAAAGACGTAGTGATTATCTACATTATTTAGTGTACTGTGTCATGCAATCTCTTGAAGCTATCACCAACTGCAAACATTTATTTTGTGTTAAATTGCTCATTAAGCGCGAAACTCTTGTAACAGTTCTTTGGCTGTCTGTTTCAATTAGGGGTACAGATTACTTTTTTAATTTCATTCATTGGAAAGGAATAGGGAATACAATATATACTGATTTATCATGATGTACAAATTCTCAGAACATGCTCTTCGTTTATATCAAATTCCATATTTTATCATTAGATGCAACAAAAAGTCGTGAGTGTGCAATAAAACAATAAAATAAGAACAATACAACACGGTTTGTAATGAATTAATTCCAACTGCAAGGTCCCTTGAACCTCGGCGGGTTTTACTACTGAGGGGTAATGCGTGAGGAGCTAACATGTGTTGTTGTAGCACAGAGGCGAGTAGAGGTTATGTGGGGGTGGGGTGGAGGGAGTTGGTAGCAGGCGGCACATTAATTGCAGGGGTGGGGTATCCAAACAAGGAAAGAAATTAAAGGTTGTTTTTTTTTTTAAATTGAAATTATCGCTGTTAACTTTCAATTTAAAAGGTATATAGGACACAATGCTTCCTCTTGATCCATTATGCTTGATTAATTGTTGAAACAATATGCGGATCGGCCTTCCGTGTAGAACAGCAAACTCTTTGATTAAGCAGTATCCGCTCTTTATACGCATGATAAAGCACCACAGCAAGTGTTTGGATAGCCACGATTGACAGGGAGTACATTTGCTAGAGTTTGGGTTGAAGCGTGTTGTAATAAACCTGAATCTCAGTTTCACATTCTACCGACGATATGATTATGCGCATTCACGAAAATCAAACTCTTTGACGAAGCACCTTTCCATGAACACCCGCTCATTAACATATCATGGCGTTAGAAACTTGACCTGCAAATAGGTGACATTTATTTAATTACCACTGTCTACATCTTGTGCTAGTCGATCAGGACTGACCTGTCGAACCGTGGTCAGCGTTTATCCACATGAAACGTTAATCTTGTTAGACTAACTTGATCTGTGGTGACCAGACAGATAACGACTGTTTCATCCCACAATTAGCTACATCATCATATTACAAATATTTATAGATGATATTATAATGTTATATTATCTTCGCCTCAATCCGTCAGAATTTGTGTCATCTAATCTCTTCCCTGTTGTACATTACGAGAGTTAAAGATGCATTATGTAAGATTTAGATACAGAGCTGGCTGTTTTTGCTATACTAGTTCACAAATAGATAATGAAAAATGAATGTATTAAAAATTTCATTTAAATTAATTTATTCTGAGCGAAGTTGCCCGTGTTTGAAGTTTTGAGAAGATGTAACATACTGTAAATTGTTTATTAATCTATTAAAATCTCGGCGATCCGATATTCCAGAGAGTTGATTATAGGCTTGTTATGTCAATAAATGTAACATTCGAAGCCAAAATAAAGACCTGCAATAGGAAAATTTAGCTCTTACATAAAACATCTTGATACATTACAGATTTATATGCCAGATAAAGTCAGTATTCGTTTTAAATCTGAATACTTCGTATTTTTATCGGGTGTATATGTCGTATTTCTGAAATGAAACGAAATTTAATCTCACTTTTTTGCACCAAGCGGTATGATACACATTTAGTGGATTGCGAGGAAAATATGTGCACTAACCGCGACGCTAAGACCTATAAACTCTTATTTTAATGTGCAACTGTCAGGAGATCTTTAGGGTGTTGTCAATGACATAGTCGAGGGCCTAGGGGACTTTTCCTTTCCAGTCCTTCCGGCATGCGACTCTTACAAGGAGAAAGCTGGGTGGAAAATCCAGGACCTTTCCAGGCCAACACCACGATCGAATAATTGAACTTCCTTACTGAGCCAGCGCCACGCCTGTCTCATTTCTGGCACGAGTAACTGGTCGGGGCCACAGATCACGATCCAAAACCTAAATGTTTATACGACAAGCTTTCTCATTTCAGTTGTATTAAATAAATTTTGTTGAGTCTGGTGGAAAAATGTGTCGAAACGAAAACAATTTATTCGGGGCCACCTCGAGCGTAGGCATAAATAAACAACCTTCATTTATAAAGCGTCTACTCGGAAATAGCTTTATCAACTGCGATGGTCTGCTGCTATAGTGTGCAGCACGTAAGACCGACAATACAAAAGTTGTATTACACCATCACGTACGATATTTGAGGATGAGGTAATCAAAACTGGATTAGTTATTGCGTCTCTTCGCATCTTTGCCATAAAAGATTTGAATTTCTCAACCAAACGTTTATTTGCGCGAGTGGTATTGATGGCTTGTATTTATACGATTAAAACTGGCGGCGATAAGTCAAGAAGGTTTTAAGCGTTAAGAATAAACCGTCTGGCTTGTTGACGGTTTTATACATCTTTTAAAACAGTATAAAATATTAGTGTGATGAAACATTGACCTGTAGAGATGAATTAAGAGCCAAGTAGCTGCCCTTCTTTCAACTCTAGGGAGCCATGGTGGGTAAGGCACTGGCTCGCTAGCCTGGAGGTCGCGGATTCGCTTCTGTTGTTGACCGATAAAGTTCATCGGGATTTTTCGGCGTGGTTTCCCCTTGTCAGTGGTGCAGGGGAAATTCGATATAAGCGTATGCCGCTGTCAAGGCAAAGATTCCCTCATGTACACTGTATATGGCACAATAGACGTCTTCGTTAGCCCAGTCGGAGCAGAACAGTAGGACGTTAAACCCCATTTCATTTCATTTCTTTCAACTGTGTTATATAAACTTTTAGCTTCAGTTACTCAAACAACAGCCATCACTACATTGCGATAAAATATGGGGAATTGAATACTGGTTCACAGCGTAGCATGATCTGAACTCCTTGAAGAAAATGGAATGTGGTTTAACGTCACGTCAACACAATACTTCGGCCATTTTCAGACTACTAAACAGTATTTTTCTTTGAATGGTTATGTGTGCAATGTGGGATTGGGGGCGGGCGGGACGGTGGAGGACTGACAATTGTTTTGTACGCCCACTCTTCTTCGATGACAAGGAATCTTTACGATGACGCCAATGTAATCACAAGGATGGGGGATCAGTACTTGTCGATGTAGAACACCTGGTTTGTCAAAAGTTTCATCCTAATATATAAGTTTAAGCATTGGTATAAGTTACATGTTTAAGTAAAGTAAGTTACAATATCCAGAGTGCAAATATCCCCATCATTCGCTTCATGGAACGTCTTTATCATCCATAAACTAAGTCAATAACGACGCTATTATAAACGCACAGAAAATATTCAGATCATTCCAACAGATTCCAAAATGTGATGAAATTCACAGTTTGATATTGAAACGTTCAGAAATGATGGGAAAAAATCATAACTGGAGTACTCTACGCCGATATAGATTTTTCTCCATTTTTTAAACCGTGCCACTTCTCTTCAAATAATCTTGTTTGAGGAGTTGAAGTTCATGCAATTACTAGAAGACTCCAGTTTTTTTGGTCATCTAGATAGTTGCTGTTAATAGTGACTACATTTATAGATATAGTTAGATCAATATTTCAAGGATGTAACAAGAACAAATTCTATATCGCTTTAAGATGATGTATTTCCGCATCAATTACAGTGGCACGCCAATCACGACCTTCTTGATTTATCTATATTTTTTATGCAACTTCTGAGTGTTAAAAGTGAGCTAATTTTAGATTATTTGTGTAGAAATTTCTCATGTGTATCATTTTATCTACTAAAGTAGGATGGTTTAAGTTTTCTAACATAACGAGTTGTTCGTCGCTGTAGTAAGTAATGTAATATG